CTCAATGTTTTTAACATTTTAAAACATTTTTATTGTTAAAACATCGAGTTTACTGATTTTGAATTATACTTAATTGATTTTCCTAGTTAGTTTTTTCAATTAAAAGGGCTGAAATGCGCCTTAAAAACCATCGTTCAAAAGGCTGAACTGTGCCTTTAAACAAGATTACCTAAAATTACATAGTTCAGTGGAATTTTCAAGCTGTTAGCGTTGTATAATGTGATATATAATAACAAAGCCAGGAAAACTTTGCCAGTGGAATGTTCGCTATAAACGCGTAAGTTAATAAAACTACAATTGTCTCGAACATTTTTATGTAAGGGGCTGACAATTTAACTTTTGAGGGGGGGGGGTGATTTTGAAAAAAATTTCCTGCAAGGCTATTCTGAACAAAAAAAAACCTGCACTAACAAACTGGGGAAAAAATATCCTGCCCCAGTATTTGGTGGGGAAAAAATGTTGCAAATCAGCATGGTTGCAGGGATCGATTTGACCAGTCAGAGAAGATCAGCTGGTTTGATTTTCAGGGACTATACAGGGTGTATCAAAATAAACGCAATGCATCTTTTGTGCTTAATAACTTTCGAAATACTATTTCTAGTTAAACGCTTTTAGGCTTACTTCAAAGCCTGTTCTTTTCTCTTTCAAACAAACTATTATCCTTGTCTCCACTGCTAGTAATAATTGCACAGGAAAAGATTTAGTAAAACCTATCATTTTTAGTTGCTGTTTAATTATGCAAGTTTACTATGTTATTGTTTAGTCGATTTAAATGTTAGAATTTTCTTCTTTAATTTTTTAATGTTGTCGTCACTACATCTGGAAAACCACGTAAGAACAAATTAAAGTATTTTAAAAGAGACCAGGTTGTTTGAAAATCCTAAACGAATGCTAAAATCGTCAAAACATTCTGGTGTCTGAGCCAGAGTGTCATCGAATTGCGATGTAATGTAAACAGAAATTATAGCAAGTTGATGTCAGTCAGCTTAGATGGTCCAAGCCAAAATTATATCGCATTTGAAGTTTCAAACTGAGTTAAAAATAGTGGAAGAAAAGCCGTAATTATACTTATTGTTACAATCCATTTAATAAAATGCAACATTTTTTTGTTTTAATGAAAAAATCAGTTATTTTCATGAGAACGATTTGTTATTCCATCTCAATTTTTTTAATCTCCAATCGCAATAACGTAAAGTATTATTACCCGCGAACCAATGAGTCAAATTTAAGAAACAACCCACTGTTAGAAAGCTGAATGACTACGCTTTAAAATGAATGTAAACTTTAACGTTTTCGTCTATTATTTGTTTAGCAATTTACATTTCAGTCGAGGATTGCGCTTTTTTGATACACCCTGTATATATATATATATATATATATATATATATATATATATATATATATATATATATATATATATATATATATATATATATATATATATATATACCGGGTGTCCCAAAAAAAGTACTCCTGTTTGATTCGTAATAACTTCTAAACAAGTAAAGCTTTTAAAGAGAAATAACTGGCATCAAATAGAGGAAGGACTAACTTAGATTTTGATATATTACAGTTGTATTTCACTTAAAAATTCACGGAGATATTAATGTTTAAAATCGGGAGCATATTTCTGGATGTGTCTGAAATATGCAAAAAACGGCGTATCAAATATTAATCAAGATTTGCCCGACTGAAATATGCATGATTACCAGTAAATAAATGACACTTGACAAATTGTTTATTATGAAACAAAGTCTGTATTATTATATACAAAATACAAGCCAGATTTATTCGTCTGAAATCTGTGTGTGTTCCTAGCACGAATACGTTTCCTTATTTCATGAGACCACTGCATCGCGAAGGATCGTCATGGATCGTTCGTAGTTCTGAATTAGGGCATGCTGTCACAATGGAATTGTGAAGCTCTTCTAACTTCTGCAATGTTCTGAATTCTTGTTAAGAACACTCAAACTCATTTGCCTTTTCTTAATTTTTTTAAATTCACAATAAACTGAGAATGAAACACAATCAAACCATACAACTCCATAAGACATAACAATTAAGCATGCAACTCCCTGGAGACATCCAACATTTTTGGAACAAAACGTAACAAAATAGTAACGTTGATACTGTGATGTGTATTTGCAAAAAGCAATATTATTTCCTTCATTGCAGAATAATATTCATCCCGCTCTAACCGAGAAATAATCAACTCTGTTTTGAACCCATGAAAAACATAAAAAAATTAGGCTAAGAAATTTAAGCAAAAAAAAATTTAAGCGCCTGCCTTGCATGGTCTTTCATGTTAAAATTTGTAAAGTTTGTAAAGACCTATTAAATATACTTGCATAATTTCATACGTTCATATTTCAGGAAACAATGAGCTAAGACTTAGCTTACATGTAAGAAGTCTAAATCTACGCCATATCCCTTACAAAGCCTAACGACAATTCGGTGAAATACAAGTTAACCTGATGTGTCATCAAGCAAACAAACGCTGAAGTTAATATTTGATATGCCGATTTTCGCTAATTTTAGACACATCCCAAAATATGCTCCCGATTTTGAACATTAATATCTCCGTGAATTTTTAAGTAAAATACAACTGTAATATATCAAAATCTAAGTTAGTCCTTTCTCTATTTAATGCAAGTTATTTCTGTTTGATAGCTTCACTTGTTTAGAAGTTATTATAAATCAAACCGGAGTACTTTTTTGGGGGACACCCGGTATATATATATAAAGTTTTTCGTTTTACCTCAAAAAACCACAACAGTCTGTTTCATCCGTATAGGAATGAGGACCAATGGTCTTATTTCGTCAATTTTCCTATACGGATGATTCCTATACGGATGAAACAGACTGTGATTGACAATGATTCCTATACGGATGGAACAGACTGTTGTGGTTTTTTGAGGTAAAACGAAAAACTATATTACCCTCTATCTATATGGTATTGAGCACTGTTTGTGTTTCGTAAACCAAAATCTTATATATATATATATATATATATATATATATATATATATATATATATATATATATATATATATATATATATATATATATATATATATATATATAGCCAACCTCTCTCTCGGACTCGACCGAATGGCCGGTAACTATCAATCATCATATACCCAAAACTTCTTAATAATTCCTAATGATAGACTTCTTAAAACTTTAGGTCATTTAGACTGAACACCGTTCGCCCCTTGAAGAAACTCATGTTAATTGGAGAGAAAGGATGTGACGAAAATTCACCTGGCATTGGAGACATTGCGTATGTAAAAGATCTAAAGACTGAAAAGATTGTTACGAGGAACTTCCGTTGTTCTAAATTTGGAATCGCCTACCATGTTGGAACCAATTTCGGCTGGGTGTGTATTAATGACTTCAAAATAGAAGTTGGTCCGTGGAATAAGTATTTTTTAAACTTTGCTTTACTTAAAACTGTATCTGACAAATTAATTAGTCAACCAAATTCGATCTTGCATGGTTGAAACTATCTAAAGCAAAAAATGTTAAGAAAAGTTCGATGTTTGAAGCGAAAGCCTTTTTTCTGGAAATTTACTGACTTCCACGTGAAGGACTTCACTCGAAATGTTTAAGAATCCTTAATAATTTAGATTATTGCACTTCACTTGGTGGAATTAATATTAGAATGTTAGGGTTTGTAATCCAAGAGAATATATACATTTTAAGACCTAACGAGGAACGACTGCGAAAAATGCAGCACAAGGTCCTCTGGTAGGAATTGAACCTACGACCCTGCGATTCCGGTGCAGCGCTCTAACCAACTGAGCTACAGAGGCCAGCTGTTGAGCTGTAACCGTAAGTTCATGTATATATAGGTAATCGGGTGTGCGGGTTGTGATAAGGTGGACTTCAACGATTTGGATTATTGCACTTCACTTGGTGGAATTAATATTAGAATGTTAGGGTTAATTCCACCAAGTGAAGTGCAATAATCCAAATCATTGAAGTCCAACTTATCACAACCCGCACACTCGATTACCTATATATGCATGAACTTACGATTACAGCTCAACAGCTGGCCTCTGTAGCTCAGTTGGTTAGAGCGCTGCACCTGAATCGCAGGGCCGTAGGTTCAATACCTACCAGAGGACCTTGTGCTGCATTTTCCGCAGTCGTTCCTCGTAAGGTCTTAAAATGTATATATTCTCACTTGGAATACAAACCCTAACATTCTAATATTAAGAATCCTTAAGCTCTTCACAAGTAACTTCATAGATTAATAAAGTTTATTTATCGAGTTCTTTTTATTGACAGTTTATACTAACTTCTTTCATTATATGAACAATAGCCTATAACCATACATTGGAAAGGACGAAAGGTGTATTGTCTTGCAGTCATGCACGCGTGGATATACATATAGAACACGCTAAAAATTCTGCGATGTTAATTGGGTATGAACAGCAGAGAACACAACTGTCTGAATTCGCCAGAAAAAATGGCCTTTTAAATTCGCATTAAGTCAGTTATACAGTAAGTGAAAGCAATCATTTAGTGGCAAATTGATGGTATGTATGTTTTTAATTAATTAAGCTTTAAACATTAAATTGCCACCCAATATTGCTTTCATAATAAGTATTCGTCTTTCGTTCAGTTTGGAAAATTGCATGGAAGCATCAATTTGCATTCTTTCTTCAGGAAAGCTTGAACTCCTGTTTACAAAAACCATGTAGTCAAGGATTTGCATTTCTCAGGGATCTTCCAATCCAAATTGACTATTACGGAGCATTCAGGTAAGAGCGTGTGTTCAGTGTAATAAGCAGAGGGGGGTAACTGCAGCACACCGGCACCCCCACCCCACCCCACCCCACCCCCACCCCACCCCACCCAAGAAAAAAGTTTGGAAAACTGTGGAAATTTGGGCAAATGCTAGGAAAAATGAAGAAAATTCGGGCAGTTTATCCCCAAGCCGGCGGCGCGAAGCGCCGTGCGAGGGTACTAATTCCGCCCGGCTATTTACACCCGGGTGTTTGAAAACATAGCGACGTGCAAAGTTGTCCTCCATTATGTGATGGACGATCTTCGATGTTATTGCGCATGCACGTGTAATAGCTCGCACTAAAATTCTAAAAATATTGTTTTTCATTTTGCAAAGATGTATTTTGATATTTTACAATATATTTCTGCGACCTATTTCGCTATTTAACTGGAAAAAATCCTGCAGTTTCATGAATTAGTGGCTGTCAACCGTGAAACAAAGTGTGAAAGGCATGCATAAAGTTATAAACTGATAAACACGAATTTTGTCGAAAACGAACCACATCGATGTTTTTAATATAAAATTTAATCGTTGTCTTGACTCTTGGCTATCTTGGGTAAGTGTTATAAACAATTCAGTATTAAAATTTCA